CGTTCTTCGTGTATTGCTTATAAAAAATCTATTTTTAGGGTAAAATGCAACACTGCTGCAAGATGCTGTGCACAAGTGAGAGACTACAGCAGTGCTATGCCCGTGAAATACATTCCTAGAAATTCTTTAAAGAGCGAAGAAGATGGAACCGCTTCCCTCCCTGTGAAGTATGTGGAAAAAAGGCATAATGGACTGGAGTTGAATTTAGCCAGGGTCGGTTTTTCCATGAATTCAAGTGAGGGGTTTTTGGATGTTAACTCCAAGAATCGTGCTGCATGCCATGATTCTGATATGTATGGGCTAAATTTAGGTATGGTTTAGTTAGACTATCCTATTTTTATGTGAAAGGGTTCGCCCTAGCTCATTACATTTCATAGTTTCCCCTTTCATTTGTGTTGGTGTGTGTGTCGATGAGTAAGTAAAGCTGATTTTACTTGATATACTGTAATATCTAGAGATGGAAGAAAAACACGAGGGAGATATCATGGCCTTGGATGATGGAATTATAGAAGAGACTGAGGAAATTGTTGAAGATAGTTTTAGATCACTTAGCGGAGTTCAATCAGGTCCTAGTCGGCAAGCTGTGGAGAAGCTGGCGATTGAGTTACTTGCTTCGAGGTTACTTATTATAGAATTTTGTATTGACATTCTGCCTCTAAATGAGCACTCAGCAATCTGATTGATTTCTTACTTGATATATTGATCTTGGACCAAATTCTTCCTGGCTGAATGATTTTATGTAACAAAAAATGTCTCACGTACAACTTATATTTTAAGTTAAATGTGAATGAATCAGATGAGATGAAACAATCCTGGTTAATTTTATCAGAGGAATATTTATAAGTAGGTGGAGCTATAGTCATGTGGAATGATAGAGTTAAAACTGCTTGGCTATATTGAATTCGACTGTAGTTTTGTTCCTGCACATGGTGAAAGGCCTTCCTACTGGAAATATCCCTTGGTAATTTGTTTCTATGTTAGTGCTAGTTTAATAAAGGAAGCTGAATTCAATCCTTTGTGTATCAATTCTAGTTGGTAGAGTGTTGTGCCGCATGTATTAGGCGGTGGTTGCATAACAGTTGATAGGTCTTTGCTGGTACGTCCAATTTTTTTTTTCTTTTATCATATGTGTATATATATAATATTTCATCCATGTGAGAATATGGATGAGTGCTGGAAACTTTGTTGAAGGCATGATACTTCTACGAGTGTCTTACCACATATTGATGCTAAAAAAGTAAAAGTAGATACAGCATTATGTACACTTCAGTGCTTTTCCGAGAATTTCACGGGCAGACTTCCCAGTCATGGTTTTGGGTTGTGGCTGTTTGGATTTAGTTAGGGGTCTAAAGGCTATAAGCTTTTGATGCATCAAAAAAGAGGGACATAGTTGACATTATCTTTTGTTTATATAATAGAACTACTATCTTTTGTTTATATAATAGAACTACTGAAAGAAGCTCCTATTTGTTACAATTGTCACCTTCCACTTGTGCTTTATGTATCTTCAAACTTTTCCAAAATCACTTTGTGTTTGCACAAATTTTCTATTATCCTGGCTTTCTTTCTTATGCACTGCAAATTCGTAGCTGAGGTATGCTCATATGGTTGCAGAGCATTTACTGCTGTGGAGCTGAAGAAGAAACTACAAGCTAAGAGGTTTCCACTTGACATTATTGAGTCCGTAATATCAGACTTCCAGAGCAGGTATATGGCTTAGAATGCTGCGTTTGTAGTTATAACATGCAAATGAGATTTCTCTTTCGAGGGCACCAATCCACTATTGGTATTTCTGTGTAAATTTGCGTGATTAAGTTACTCATGTGACCTTGTATAAGAGTATCGGGAAAAATGACCAAAATTTTACTTCTGAAGCATAACCACAAATCTGTGCATCACATACTTATCTCTAGCCATTCCGTGATCCTTGTTTTTACCTGTAGGGGTCTTATTAATGATGGCTTATATGCGGAAACATATTCTCGGTCCAGATGGTCTTCCTCTAGCTGGGGCCCACGACGTATCAGACAAGTAAGTTTACTCTTATCTTATGCATGGACTTTGATTACTAAGTTATCTATATTATTGTTCACAAACTTGCAGCGCGATTGCATATTGGTTGTCTTGATATCCTCCTAAGTTGGTTGTGAGATTATATTTGGGACAGTATACTGCTGAGGATGATTTATTGAGCTATGGCCCATTTTATGTATTCTTGAAAATTGATTCTTCAGTTTTATTTATGAATGTTAAGTGGCCGAAATCTGCTGTCGATATATCTATTTACTTATTTTGAGACCAAGTTGCTCAGGATAGCAATTTTTCCCATGGTAGAAGGACATTTCCTTTTGTAGCTGAAAACATTCTAGAGGCCCCATAGAAAGTCTTCTGAAACCTTCTTACTACTTGTTCTTGATTTTCTTTTTTTTTTATTTATTTAAAAATAAATAAATTTTATGCTTGGAATGACTACATTCTCTGCTGTCCTGTTTCTCTGATGTCTGCATCCTCCAAAAAGTATCATCTGGAAGTGTTACTGTTAGAAAAAGGGTTATCAATACATGAGAAGTTTTTTAGTTTAATTTAGCTCTGGTTTATTAAGTTCACATTAGTCATGAGCTGATTGGTTGTTGTATCGAATTTGTAAAGAAATAAACTTTCCTTTCTAAATACGAAACGTGATTGGGTGAATGGTAATCGGAAAAGAGCGAGTGGGTAGGGTACTTCTGTGTGAATGAAGTACATTTATAGTAGTTGATGTGATGGTCAAGAAATAGTGGTCGAATGTGATTGGTTAGTGGATAAAAAGAAAATAGAGAATAAAATAAACTTCATATTTTATAAAATAAGAGTATAATACAATAGGCAATGCTCCCTAGGTTTCGTCTTTCTGTGCATTCATACCCAATAGAAAGAACATACGAAAGAAATTATAAAGGTGCAATTAGATATGCTGATAGAGTTAGAGAGACTTACGGGAAGAAATTGGAAGCTGAAGTTCTATTATTAATGACAGAAACAGAAAAAGGAAAATAAAACAATTGTACATGAGCCTGCCCTAGCGCAATCTCGGATCAGGATCTCTACTGCCTAAGCCAAAAGCCCCTATATACTTTCTCCATGCCTTAAGGGACCTAAACCTTACTATCTACTGGCTACTACTTACATATAAACAAATAGGGTTTTCCAAGCAAAAGCCTAGCCCGTCACCTTATTCTAGCCATTAATGAATAACTTAGCGAAAATATGGTATTTTAAATATAGATACGTAATATACGCTTTCATTGAAATTTTTGTCTTTTCAGGAAGTGTTGGAAAATATTTTGGTAAGATTTTGAAAAGTGATTGATTTGTGATGACAATGTAATAATTAAAACTTAGGTGATGTAAAAATAATAAAGTGGTAGCTAAAAATAAATCTATTTTGTTTGGGTTTTTTGTTAAAAACAGTTTTGTATTTGTTAGAATCCTATTTTATTGAGATATTTAATTATAATTATAACTAATTGAGATACTATCATTAATAAAATATCAACCCAAGGACTTTTAGTCCGTTTATTTATTTTTACAAAACTCCTCCTTTTATAATAGTCCTTTTATAATAGTATAGAATAGATAGTATAGAATAGATACATAGATATAGATTTTTTTTCTAATAGGATGAAAATAGCAAATTTTTAATACCCAATTGTGCCCTATGCGTGCTTTTTTCCATAAGATGCATTCTTTTTCTCTTGAAACAAAATGTTCCGAAAAGTTAATGATAATTACTCTAGAAAGAAAACACTCTCCAAGCTCCTTACATTTGCATCATTATAATGTCTTAAATTAGGGTTTATCCAAGAAGGGGATAAGCGAAGTGGATGCTCAGAAAGCCGTAAAACTAGTTTTCGAGAACAAAGAAGGTGGTGGAGATGACGATTCGAGAATTGGCATGTCAAGACCAGCTATTGACCAGCTTTATGCTCAAGCCTCAAAGCAATGGCAGAGAAGCCGTGGGGCCCCTCAAGATACACGCAAATCGAGAATTATTCGTTGGCTTCAATATCGTGGATTCAATTGGAGTGTTGTTAGTTATGTCCTAAAGAAGTTGGAATCTGAAGCCCCTTGCTAGAGCACCCAATTACAAGTCATTGTAGCTTGTCCATGGTTGCAATGCCTAGTATATGAAAACATTCTTTGCCATTTTTTTTTAAAAAAAAATTAGTTATATGTTGCTTGGATGATGAGTATTGGGCTGGCAATGCAGACTATGCAGATGCAGTAACTCGTCTGTTTTTCACTCATGCTGTTTATTTCATATCTTTTTCTTTAATCACTCTTTCATGGTGTAGATGTGATATTTCAGGTTGAATGAGTGACCACTTAACCTACAACTAATGCCAATTTTGTTTTCGTTAAATGCCAGGTGGAGATTAGGTTGTGATTGGATATTAATTTCAGAGCCATATATTTTTAATTGTGATAATGATGCAACAGTAAATTTTTTGGTATGTTTGTACACATTATTGTGATGTTTTTACACATATTTTTAATTTCAATTACCATATATTGTGTTATTGTCTTACCAAATAAAAATTACTTTTAATAATAATAAAGTAAAATGCTTAACTTTAGTAAAAACCCTGACATAAATCTCCAATCTTCTTTTTCTCTTAGAGCATCCACAATTGGAATATGACTTGTAAGTTGTCCCACATTGATTCTATAGGGAAAATGAACCTAGTATATAAGTCTAGTTGACTACTCCTCTCATCACCATTTGGTTTTGGGATGTAACTTCATTAAGGTGCACCTAGGCTTACCCTCTCGTTTCATCTGTTGGGACAACAGTCTCTTCCCCCGATTCTATAAATCTAATATGGTATCGGGTTCAATCAAGAAAAATTATATGTCACCTAAAAAATATATTCTTCAATGCAAATAAAAGTAGACTGAATCGTGCTGATGTGGCAGAAAAAGAGATCCGACCTAGTCTCTTTGCATTGGAGTATATTTTGTTAATATTACATAGTTTTATCCATGTCACCCAAGATTTGAGTTTATTTTACTAGATTCAATGCATTGTAGATGCTCTTGTTGAATCACATTTTCTTCGTATTCTCTTCTTGAATCACACTAAAAATTCAACGCCTCATTCTCTCCTCTCTCAATTTGATCATCCATGGCGCCCACACCATCATCAAAATCGAACCATTCTACGCCGTCAACAAGACCCAACTCAGCCCACCACCAATCCAGAACTCCTCAGTCAAAGCACCGCCTTCAGTTCAACGCCTTGCCTTCCAAGCACTCAGTCATCGGTAGAATCCGTGATCACTCGAACTGAAGTTGAACACATCGTACCTTAGATCAATCGCCCTTTCGAACTCATACCTTAAAGCTAATGCCTGTGTTCTTGGTCATGGCTCACCGAGCCTCACCAGAAGCTCGGGTGGACGCCCTAAAACCGCAGTCGTCAGAGGGAATCCTCTCGGAGTCACGGCCTTCGGGTTCGGTGGCCGTCACTTGTCGTTCGTTTTGCCTGCGCTTGTCTTAAATCGGGTTTCATTTCGAGCCGGTTACACTTACATTGATACTTTGATTAATCGAAAATTCTGAAAAAAAAAAAAAAAAAAAAAAAAAAATGGGGGCATGAGTGAATTTAATTGCCCTGTGCACGAGAAATATTAAAACTCGAGTGGGATATTGGACTTTGCATGTTGGTGTCTGATGTGTAACGGCTAAGGTGGATATTGAGGTCCCCCCAAAAAAAAGTTGGATATTGAGCACCCAGTTGGACTTTGCTGCTCTCCCTATGGCTATAATGGCTAAGGTGAATGAGAGAGAAACGACCATGAATAGGAAGGTGCTAGTTAGCTGCTCTTTGTTCATATACCGTTTATGTAATATATAAGATACAAAATGATTTGTTTTTTTGGTTTTCATTTTAGTATTATGATATTAGAGTATGCTTATTTTCGGCTTATGCATTCAGGCAACTCTTGTTTTGAATGTTGACTCAAATTACTTATGCACGAACAAAGAAATAAACAACAAAAATTGTACAATTACAGTGTATATGTTGTTTATTGACTGGATAACAAAAAAAAAAAAATTCGTAAACTATTTGTTTAACTCACGTTTATAATCAGTATATCATAATTACTTTGTAATATTTTGATTTTTATGTTATACATAAACGGCGGGCAGGGTGATTGTCTTGGGCCCAATCTTCGTGCAACCCGAGCTCGTCGGGCCCATCTGCAATGTTGGTCAGCAATCGACTGGCGCCGTTGATGGTCAGGCTGCCGCCAGCAGTGACTTCGAGATATTTCATATCTTTTTTTTCTTTTCTTATATTAATCTCATAATCAATAGAGTTACCATTTCAAAATGGTATGTATCTGTTACCTATTTTTATGCTTAGAGAGGAATTATGAGATAACTAATTGACATGTGTGGAAATAAATCTTTTGTTGCATAAAATTGTAATACAAAAAACCAACTAACAAATTAGAAAAGATATTATAGGCATTTGTGTACTTTAGCCTTTTTATGGGACATCCAAAATTATTTGAAGAGACGTTGTTGATGTTTTTTCAAGGACGCAAATCTAAAATTAGAAAATAAACAAAATGCCACTTGCTTACGAAATTCTCGATCAACCAAACGCGTTTGAACTCAGAACTAGTATAAAAATTTATCATATATTATGCCACACACAGGATGATTTGCTGTTCTTAAAAAATAAAATAAAATTAAACTAGAAAAAGAAAAAAAAAAAAGGAGCAATTCATATAATTGAAATTTCTCAGCAGGTCTTCACACAATTGATCAAAGTGAATGAAATAAAGATTTTTCATTTACTGACTGTATTAGTAGAACTCTCAAGCCAACTCCAATTGAAAACATGGGAATGAGAAACACTTTTCTTTGTGAAGTCTTTGCAAGAAACATAATATAAGAAAAAGGTACCCAAAATTGTGTTGATATATAAAGAAGTAATCACAGTAACTTTACTGTATTCAACAGATTTCGCTTTACACCACCTTAACCATAATTCCAGTGAACAAACTCAAGTTTCAAGGACACACATTTTTCCCGACCAACTACAAATGTTAAGGTGTAACTATCACCTGCCAAAGCACTTCAATATAGATGATGTCAAAGACGATGAAATGAACTTCAGCCCAGCTGACCCACCAGGGAAGTAAGAGATTGCATAGTATGCTAGCGCCATGACCTAAAAAATGCAGGAGCATTTATGGATTAGATGAAATATGGGAAAACTGTCTAAAAATAAAATAAAAATAAAAAAAAAAAGCATGCCAAATACCTGAAGCACAGAGAAAAGCACAGATAGAACATAGCTATGGAGAACCATGGAGACATAAATGGTCCCAATCATGCTGCCGATAAACCCTAAAGTAAAAGGAAGCCTCTAATGGGAGGAAAAAAGAAGAAAAATATTAGAGAAATATATGTAACTCCTTAAAGAGATGCAGTGATTTTGTAGGATTGATTTAGCACCTCCTTTGATGACATGTGGCTAAGCTGATTCTTTGGTCCTCTAAGGGCAAAAAAGGATCCGATGATGAAGGCACATCCAGCAGTAAAGCAGAGAGCGAATTTCTGAGGTACAAGCACAATCACCGGAAGAAACAACGTGAATGCTATAAATACAAAGAAAACTCCACTTGCCAGCAGCAAGCCAAAATACATGAGTGATTTTCCAGACGGGATGCCACTTGTGGCGGACTGCAAATTTCCAGGTAGGTCTCTCACTCCTTTGGAGACCCTGGATGGAAAGTTTCACTCAGATAAATTTGGAAATAAGATAATATTTAGTTTATGAAAGTGGTATTAAACAACAAGGTAATATGCATTCAGCTTAAAAGGGAAGCTATAAGATAATTAGAGAAAAAATTACAATAGAAAACAGTATCACTGAAGTTAATCCAAAAGTCCCGGAATCATAATATGAAGAAAGTTACATGGGCAGTGATTGTTTTTTTTTGTATTTTTTAATTTGTTCATGTCATTGGAGAAGCTTTTATTAAGTGAGAAAGAATGAGGAGATAACTATAATGTAGGTGTTTCTCCAAAACCTAAATCATGGGCCCATAAATTTTGCTAGAAAAGCTATACAATGTCCTTTCAAAGTACTACCATCCAACTATAACTAATTTTCATATATAATATACACAAGGATTTAATGGCCACAGAATCGAAGCAGTTTCTTAGAAACTGTTCAAGGTTTCTCAATTACAAGTGACTAAATCAGTAACTGCAAATTACACAGCTATTATCTTGAATTGCATGATGGAAAGCTACTCAGTACAACACTTATGCAATACACACGTGTTTATTAAGAAACTTATACTTTTTTTTAAAAAAAAAATGAAGTCATTACTTTAAATTTTCAAATACTTCTCAAGAAATTGCATTTATTTTTATATAATAGGTTGGATGATAGTAATTTAGTTTCTATTTAGAGAAGTTGATATAATTATTGTTTTATTTTGTACAGGGAATATGGATTTCAAATTGAAGATCGTAAAAAAATGATTAATTTGATATATCAAAAATGAAAAAAAATAATAATAAATAACGTTACTAAGTTACAAAATATATAATTTAAGTTGCCAACTGCTTTGTAATATTAAATGTCCTAACAGCATGGAAAGTCCAAATCTACATAGACTATTTCGAAGAACCAGAAATTGACATGTGATTACAAAGTACAATAGTTGACACTTAAAGGTGTTAGTCCTGGATCACACTGCTGCCAGCTTTTGTTCACAGCTTGGCTGCTCTGTTTGCAGCTGGGCTGCACTGTTCGGTTAAGAAAAAATGCTTCCCGGCACAAACTGACACTTTTAAGATAGAAGAAAAAGATTTTGAACAACTCAATGTATTGAGTATTCAGTTTTTCTGTGTGTTTACAAATGAAAACCGCATCCTATTTATAAGAACTAAAAGCAACTACCCTAGTGGCTTTCCTAAAAACTACTTAAGTTGAAAAGTCAGCCTAAAGTGGCTGCCATGAAAGTGCTCTGCAGCTGCAAGGAAGTTGCACTGCAGTAACAAGGAAAGTGCATGGATTATATCTTACAATTCTTCCCCTAATCCAGCTGCTTTTGCTTGTTTCCTATCATTCCAATCTTGGTCTTTAGCTCCATGAATTGAAGACGGCCGAGTGGCTTGGTAAGGATGTCTGCGAGCTGCCGTCCGGATTCGACAAACTCCAAAATAATCTGTCCTTCATCGACACAATCACGAATGAAGTGAAACCGGGTATCGATGTGCTTGCTTCGATCATGGAGGACTGGATTTTTTGCAAGGGCAATGGCGGGCTGGTTGTCCACCATCATAATGGTGGACGAGCTTCCTCACCGGTTAGCTCGCCCAGCAACCGACGCAGTCAGACCGCCTGGCACGCCGCTGTGGCTGCCGCCACGTACTTCGCCTCGCACGTTGACAGCACCACGATCTTCTGTTTCAGCGACTGCCATGAGATTGGGGCCGATCCAAGGAAGACGAGCATACCGGAAGTGCTCTTCCACCCATCAATGTCGCCTGCAATGCCATGTCTGCATCACTGAAAACCGTGAGCCGCAGCCCACTTCCGCCGCCGGTCTTGGGGAAGATGATTCCCTTAGCACACAATCGCTTTACCGCAGCCCAATGATCCTCCTCTCGGGGGTCCTCCATGAAACGGCTAATATAGCCCACGGCGAATGCGATACCTGACCTCGTGTGGACTAGGTACTGTAGCCCGCCGACGATACTCCGGTAGAGTGTTGCTTCCACCTTCCCCGCGGTGCTGGCTTTCGTCAGCTTCAGCCGCTCCTCCATCGGAGTTGCGCATGACTTACAGTCAGCCATGCCGCTCCGCTCCAACAGCTTCCCCGCATCCCCTGCTTCACCTCAATGCCGAGGTAGTAGGAGAGCTTCCCGAGATCGCTCATGCGGAAACGAGCTGCCATCTCGCGCTTGAAGCCGTTGATGTCCTCTTCTCGTGCCCCAGTGATGATCAAGTCATCCACATACACGCCGACGACGAGCTCCTTCTTCCCCCGTCGCCGCGTGTAAAGCACGTGCTCTGTTGCGCAGCGCGTGAACCCAAGCGTACCCAGAGTGGCATCGAGCTTGGCGTTCCACACTCGCGGGGCTTGTCGCTGCGAGTGCCTTCCGCAGCCGCAGCACCTTGTGCTCCTTTCCCTTCACGACAAAGTCCGGGGCTTGCTTGACGAAAACAGTCTCCACTAGCTCGCCGTTGAGAAAGGCCGATTTCACATCCAGGTGATGAATGCGTCAGTCCTTCGCTGCCGCCATGGCCAGCAGTAGGCGAACTGCCGCCATGCGCGTAGGCGAACTGCCTCCATGCGCGCCACTGGTGCAAAAACTTCCTCAAAGTCGATGCCCTCTCGCTGGACGAAACCGCGAGCAACGAGGCGCGCCTTGTGCTTGACTATGGCGCCACCCTCGTCCCGCTTGACCTTGTAGACCCATTTGAGCCCGATTGGATGACAGCCTGGAGGTGGATCGACGAGCTCCCACATCTCATTTTCCTCGATTGCCTTAATCTCCTCTAGCATAGCTCGTCTCCAACTGACATCGCGCTCGACCTGCGAGAAAGTCGATGGCTCCTCTGCGCTGACGAGGAGCAACTCCTGATCGTCAAGTAATCGGCTCGCCAAGCCTGGTACAGCCGAGTTGCCAACGAGGTTGTCCATCCTGCGAAACCTCACCCCCTCGCCGTCGTGGAAGGCATCCACATGCTCGTCGATGTCGCATGGAGGAGAGGTGAACTCAACTGTCGTCGCTGGAGGTGTCCCCTGTCCTGCCGCAGCAGGGGACTGTGGTGGGAGCGTGTGCGCAACCGTTGGTGGAGACTCTTCGCCCGTGCCCGCCATGGCCGGAGCGGCTCATCCGACGCCGCCACAGTTGCTGGACTTAGCGCGTCCGCAGCTGGTTTTCTACTCCCGCATCTCCTCCTCCGTGGATCACCAAATGCTCGATGACGAACGTACCGCCAACGCCACGGGCTTCTCTCGTGCCAAGATTCTCCCAATCCCAGGCTGCCATTTCGTCGAACACAACATCCCGCAAAACAACCACCTTGCCTCAACGCGGATCGTAGAGGCGATAGGCCTTGTTCCCCTCCTCGTAGCCTAGGAACACAATCGGTATGCTCTTATCCTCAAGCTTGCACAGGGCTTCGTCTTCTTCACATAGCCAATGCACCCAAACGTCCTTAGAAACGAGACGTCGGGCTGCCTGCCATGCCAAGCTTCGAATGGCGTCATGCCCTTCAGGGCCTTCGTGGGCGCACTGTTGAGGATGAACACCGTCGTGCTCACAGCCTCTCCCCAGAACTCCGTTGGCATGCCCTTTGCCTTCATCATGCTTCGGGTCATGGCTACCATGGTCTGATTCCGCCGCTCCACTACGCCGTTTTGTTGCGGTGAGTACGGCACAGTGTGATGGCGCACCACCCCCTGGTTTGCACAGTACGCGGCGAATTCCACCGATGTGAACTCGCCTCCGCGATCCGTCCTCAGCACGCGCAGCCGCTTCCTGGACTCTGCTTCAGCTCGCGCCTGGAACCGCTTGATTGCCTCCGCCGCCTGATCCTTACTCGTCAGGAGCTGCAGCCACATGAAACGGCTACAGTCGTCCACGAGCAGCAGGAAGTAGCGTCGTCCGCCATGCGTAGACGGCGTGATCGGCCCGCAGAGGTCGCCGTGGACGAGCTCGAGGACATCCGTCGCACGATACTTGGTCGCCTTTGGGAAGGGCAGCCGCCTCTGCTTCCCTACCAGGCAGTTGTCGGTGTGCGGGAGCCAGCCCACCATCTTCCACAGTCGACTGAGTGCATCGAAGTTCAAATAGCCGAACCAAGCATGCCATAGCCATGGCTCCTCAGTGTACCGTACCGCCAAGCACACCGGCTGCTCCACCTTCAAGTCGAGGAGGTAGAGGCGGTTCCGGGAACGCTGGACCATGGCCAGCAGCCGCTGGTCTCGGTCCCTGAGCGTTAGCACGCCGCCTTTGACAAGCACCTCGCAGCCGTGCTCGTCCAGCTGTCGGATGTTGACGATGCTTGAACGCAACTGCGGGATATAATACACATCCGCCAATGCGCGGTGCTCGCCGTTTTGGCACCGAAAGATGACGGTGCCGCGACCTCGAATCTCCACCTTCGAGCCGTCGCCGAACTTCACCGTCCCCGTTATGCCGTCATCAAGCTCGGAGAAGGCTTCTTTGGAGCCGGTCATGTGATTGCTGGCACTGGAATCCAGATACCACCTCTGCTCCATGCCACCGCCCATTCGTCCAAGGTGGACTTGGGCACGCGACTCGTCGAGGTGAACTGCCTGCAGTGCCTTTCTCTGCTCCGCAGCTGCCGCCTTGACTTTCTCCAACTCTGGCTTGACGTCGTGCAACGTGCAGAACTTCGCCATGAGAAGAAATGGCTCCTCGTCATACACCTGCGCGAGGTGCGCCTCCTTCTTCTCCTTCTTGAGATTCTTGCAATCCCGGGTCCAGTGCCCTGTCTTCCCGCAGCGTCGACAACTGTCCTTGTCGATCGGAAGCGCGTTGTCGCCGTCCTTCTTCTTCTTCTTCTGCGGGGCCTTGCCACGGCGCTTGCCGTAGCCGCCACGGCTGGAGGAGCCTTCCCCGGGACGCCGCTCGCGCATACGGCCGCCCATTCTTCCTCGGTCAGCAGTAACTTGTCGTGCCGTTGGTAGTTATCATCGCCGTCTCCAAACGGTCATCCACCGCCCGCAAGCGGCCAGTCACATCCTCAATCATGAGGGTGGACATGTTGATCAACGTCTCGATGGAGAACGCGACCTGGGTGTACTTAGGCGGCACGACGTGCAAGTATTTCGCGACCGCCTCCTCGTCGGTGATGGTGACGCCATGCGCCGCCAGCTGACTGACGAGCGACTGCAGACGGAGCGAGAAATCCTCCACTGCCTCGTCGTCGCGGAACGCAAGCGCCTCATACTCCCGCCGCAGCTGCTGCGCCTTCGCCTTCTTTGCGCGATCACACCCAGCGCATGGCCTTGAGGGCGTCCCAAGCAGCCTTTGCGGAGTCCTTTGCGCCCAACGACTCCACGTACTCGTGAGGCACAACGGACAGAATTGCTTCCATCGCTGCACAGTCTTCTTCTTCATCCTCGGTGCCTTCTTCAATGGCCCGCCAAAGCTTGCGCGCACGCAACTTGACCTTCATCAGCACCGCCCACTCGCCGTAGTTTGTGCGTGTGAGCCGCGCGGTCCTGTGGATGATAACCTCATGGCGCGGTGAAGCGTCTGCTCAGCTCCCTTACACCGTCGACGCAGCATCTTGGCTTCCCATGGCTCGGATCACTGCTGCCAGTTCACAGCTTGGTTGCTCTGTTTACAGCTGGGCTGCACTGTTCGGTTAAGAAAAAATGTTTCCCGGCACAAACTGACACTTTTAAGAGAAGAAGAAGATTTTGAACAACTCAATGTATTGAGTATTCAGTTTTTTTCTGTTTACAAATGAAAACTGCATCCCTATTTATAAGAACTAAAAGCAACTACCCTAGTGGTTTTCCTAGAAACTACTTAAGTTGAAAAGTCAGCTAAAGTGGCTGCCATGAAAGTGCTCTGCAGCTGCAAGGAAGTGCAGAAGTTGCACTAAGTGCATGGATTATATCTTACAAAAGGCTCATGAAACTCTGCATTTATAGATAGGGATGAATATTGATGTTTGTATGCCTGCTCATCACTCATATGAAAGTCATGCAAACTAAAGCCAAACAGATTCCCATTGCTCATCATCTACATGAGACCTGATTCATCAATTATGTTCAATATTAGGTAAAACCATATGCACCTGCAAATTGGGTTAAGACTATATTGATGTTTATAGGTTCAGTTTAGTAATAGCAATTTCAATCCAACTGAAGCATAATCTTTAAAAATAGTGGAACACTTTCTCAAGCTATCTGGATCATAGAAATGGTAAAAACTCCTGTGGTGAAACCACAAAGAGGAACAAGGCCACACAGGTTTAATCACCTGATGATTTCGCCACAATCTCTAAAAATTGCTCAGCACAGAGGTTTAATCCTTCATTCATCAAGGTCATTTAACATTAACTGCTGAATTGTTATTTGGTTACATAGTCTCAGCAATGTTCTAACTTACACAATTCAAGGAACGCAGTTGAATTAACCCAAATCGCGCTAACCATTAACATGCCTTCAATTCATCATACATCATTACCCAATATAACTCACCACTGTAGAGGACTTACTGTAGATTTTCACTAATCTTCCCTACCGTTCATATGATTTCAACATACCATTCAAAGCAACAAATCATGAAATACGTCAATCTCAACGAGCGGGCATCTAGGTAAAACCGTAAATTTTTGTTTTGGAGGAGGATGAAAACGAAACTTACACATTGAAGGTGCCTGATACGGTGTCGTTCGCGGACCTAACAGCTGATTCTATGTCGAACACACCGGCGAGGGAGGCGCCGCTGCTACTCTCCTCGGAAGATCTGGCGGCTGAGTACGAGTTCCAATCGGCGAGCAGGGACGGGGAAGAGGAAAGCGTCGTCGTCGGAAGGGATTTTTCATTGTCGCCGGCGCCTCCGGAAAACCAGCTCTGCATCATGACGCGAATACTGAATCTGGTGAATGGATAGCAAACTGAGCTGATGAATTCGTGGCAGACGGAAACGAAAAGCAAACCAAAACCACCGGCAAATCGTAGTCGCTAAGCAAAGAGTAATCGGACACGGCTTTGCTGTGATATTAGATCATTCTATAGTAATCAGATTTCAGACTTAATTGTGAAGGAAAAAATCACGGACGCTGTTCAAAACTAGTACAATTTGATTTTGGGCAGGGACAAATAAAATTTATAAATTATATCATTTTTAAAATTCATAATTTAGATAATGAATATATTATATTTTATAAATTTTATAAGTTATATGTGTAATATTTAAAATTATAAGTAAGTAATGAGCATATCACATTAGTAATAATGAACCACATAAATATAATTTATTTAATTTATATATAAATGTTATCTTGATTGCAATAATGAAAATTTTGCAATATTAACTTATTATGATCAATTAATTAATTAGATAAAATAATATTAAAATCTATATCTATATCTATATATATAAAGAGGTTGTTGGAAAAATACATTAATAGAAAGTTTGATCAAATAAATATAATGTTTGACTTACTATTAATGGAAAGTTCAAAAAAACACATGTGAATCTTTAATAACAAAATCTAAATCCTATTTTTTTGATAACAAATTTGGAGATTCTTATGGCAAAATTTGAACCCATTTTTTCGTATCATATTTTATTTTTTTACCAAAATTTAAATCATATCGTTTTTGGTAACAAATTTGGAGATTCTTATGCAAAAAAATGTGTCAATTATTTATGAAAATAATTCTAAATACAAATTAATTTAAAAGCTGTGCTAATTGGATATAAATTTAGGAAACAAATAGTTGTATAATTCTTAACCAATTCTTCCAATCTTATTGAATAATTTTTTCTTTCAAAAAAATTGTGTAAATTGGATAAAGCCACGTGCAATTTTTATTTTAAAATAAAACTGATATTTGGACGTGATGTACATTCAAAATTGTGTCCACATTTTATGGTAACAAAAGCAATTCATCATTGATATTTAAAGTCACCTTATCCAATTATTTAGGAAAAATTGTATGCAACTTTTCAAAATTTAAGTGCATCGATGTTTTTAGATTCATATGTTTTTTCTTAATCATATTTTACCGAGATTTTGGTAAGTTCATATCATTTTTTTTGGTTAAGTTCATATCATTTTCTTTAGGAAAGAGACAGTTGCATAAACATTAACAATTTATTTCATTTTTTTATTAGAATTATTTTCAATTCAGTTTGTTTGATACAAAAATTGGTGCAATGTTAGGAAAATTTGGTTGCATTTTAAGAAAAAAATTGATAATTTTTTTTATTTGGTTTAAAAAAAATTCGGATCAATTTGTTTGATAAAAAAATCGATTTATTGGTAGGAAAATCGGTTTCATTTCCGGGAATAACTAATGATTCTTTTCAATTTTTCTTAATTGAAATTTAGAACTAGATTTAAAATAAATAATGGGTGAAGATCCCTAAAAAATTCTACTTTTTTTTCTACTTTAATTTTGTACAGTAAATAAGGTCCTTTATTTTTTTAAAAAAATTTGTTAACTAATAACTAATAATATGCAATTTTGGATAAATTTGAACACCTATGTAGTACTTTACGTGCCAAAGAATCAAATCAATAATGTTGTACATAAGGAAGTGTTTAATAACATATAAATTTCATTTTTCATGAAATTTTTAATGGTCTGAGACAATTTAAATACAAAAAGACTTTTTAAAAAATATATAGGTAATAAATGCTTCCGTGCATCGCACGGGCACCGTACTAGTTATTATTAGAACAATAGTATACAGAGTTTTAAGGGGATTGGTTAGTCTATAAAAAACTAATAACTAACTTTAATTCCAAAAAACTTGCGTAACATGCTGAAAAAAAAAAATTTGAAATAAAGTTTTAAAACAAAATATCATTTAATGTGACTTTATAGTTAGTTGGTAGTAGACTAGTAGCTATTATGTAATAAATTAAATAAAAAAATATAATTACTTTATTAATGAAAATTGTAACCGAAAAGCGGGAAAACAATTGTCATATATTGTTTACCAATAATTATATATATATATATATGAAAAAACTACTTGTACAATTTTTTTTGTACAACATTCAATGGCAACATGATGTGACATAATGTGGGTGATTGAGATTCAAATAATGCATGGTTAAGATTTGAGTTAATGATACTTTTAACTAACGGTGTCAACTAATGTTGTAAACTACAATTGTACATGTAGCATTGTCCATATATATATTGTTGCGTTCGTCACGAACCAGGTTGAACCGCCTACACCCGTGAACTTCCTTCCTCTTTTTGAGCTCCGGTGACATGCAATATGCCGGGAGGGAGGGATGAAGATCGTGTATCCCGTGATTTGTTTTGCATAGAAGTGCGGGCTAATGGCCTTGCTTCTACACAATATGTTGCGAATATCCGCACTAACAGCCTTGATAAAATGCAAGAGATTGTGAAAAAACCAGCACCATCGGCCTAGTTTTAACACGAAGAATTTGTGCTCAAGACCAACTTTTTAATTTTTTAGTACTTGAATTAATAATTCAAATTAGCATGACATGAATATTTAAAGAAAATAAAGACTAAACCAATGAGGACTTAACATCTAATAAATAAACTCTAATCTTAAGGAAAATAATATCTAATCCTAAGAAAATAAATCATTAGGCACATGTCAATTAACCCAAACAACTAAATAAACTAGGAATATGAAATAATCTAATAATAAATCCTCTATAACCAGCCAAGATCTTCTAGAAGATTCGATCGGCTTGACTCCCACGCTTCGTCGAGCAGCAATGGGAGAACTAGTATAATGGGACCCCGTATTGCCCCACCTTTGGAATCTTAATCCGTAGCAATAGAAGAATGAAGAGAGCACCCAAAAAACCCGACTAATACGCAAGAGAGCACCCAAGCCGGAAAAACGAAGACCAACACCAACTTGGTCTTTGAAAAACGTGTAACAACCAGGAGGGGGACAATCATACGAGTCGGTAGGCTTCGGAACCACAAACTCTCACTCGACGGGTAACTCGCAAAGCCTCTTAAATTTTTTGATTTCACCCTAAGACATGCAAGAAAAGGGGCTCGACTTACCTTTATGCAATCCACCCAGACAGTCAGCTAGAGGAGGGGAGTCGGACCTACCCGAATCAACCGAAGGAGAGTTGTGACTACCCAAATCGGACGAAAAGGAACCGTGCTCACCCGAACCGACCAAGGCGGCGGCGGCTTGACCCAAAACCAAACCGGGAATATCGAAAATAGAAGGAACGTCATCGAGGTTAAAAGGGTCATTGGGAAATGAGCTTCCAAAACGTTAAAGCTCATCCCAAGTAAACACGCCTTCGGCTTCGTCGATTAGGCAAAGAGCATCGGTCTCGGCGGGAGGATCGAAGGGTATATCTTAATATAGTTAGGTGAGAGGGATATAACATGAGGAATATCTTCAGCAAAGCTCCGGTTCGAGCCCAAAGATCGAGACATCGAACCAAAGGGGCGAAAGGGCGATAGGTGGAGTAGAGGAAAAGAGACTAAAAGTAGTAGGAGAGTTCAAGGAAACATACCGGAGTAGCTTGAGCTTGGGCGGGAGAGATGACCGAAGGAAAAAGCTAACCGGAAGATCACGTCGAGAGCTCTACCGCACCATCGGCTAGAGAGATGTTTAAGGAGAGAGGTGAGGAAAAAAAAAATGGCAAAGAAAGGAAAAGGATACTTATAGAGGGGGAGAAGCCCTAAGTTAGAAATGGGGTAGATATGAGCTATAAAATTAAAGAGAGACATAAAGTAAGATCTATGGTGAAGGACACACGTCGAAAATCGGGATATTACCTTGGTAATGAAAAAAGTCTTGGTCAAAAGTGTTCAAATACCAAATCAAGGCTCTCCAACCAAGTAGTGACCGATCTTAATATCGAGTCGACTCGGAGCATACTCGGTAATTGCACGATAGCGGACGGTGGCAAATTAAGAGAATAACAATAGCAGAATGTATGAGCATTTATATTTACGATTATATGAGTCTCATTTCATATGCTCGTAAATAGAGGGAGTAGTTGATAGGGATTTTAGTACCGACCCGACTCAACAAAATAAAGATCCGTAAAACCAGGGTCGAATGGGCCGTAGGGTTGTACCGGGCCAGTTGAGGTCAAAGGGCGGACCAGTGCAGAAGGTCGAGCATCAACCCAAGGGTCGATATGCACAGCCATTACAAGTTGGGTCGAATGTCGATCCATAAGGCCGTACATCAACTAAATTATGTCAGGTAGACAGATGTTTGGGAACTTAGGCCCCAAAAGGGAGACCGTACAATTAAGCACTATATATAGAGTTAATTCAACGATATGAGGTAAGATTCGTTTATTACAATTACTATTACATTTATTGCAAATTATCCTCTAACTCCGAGATACTAACTTAGACGTCGGAGGGCTTGCGCCGGAGTAATTCCGACGCTCTTTTCAGGTACCGACGAGCTTTCGGACTTGGATCAAATCGAGTTAGGCGGACTTGCATTCAAACAGAAGGAGACCTTTCGAAAAACCGAAGCAACTCATCTCGGGCCATATCAGTTGGTAAGCACCATAAGCTAACCTATAACTTATTTGGTTAACTTATAAGTTTTCTATATACAAATAAGTTTGAACTGTTTTGAAAATTTTCAACTTATTTTATAAGCTTCTTTTATAATTTTTCAAATAAGTCGGATGACATTATTTCAGCAATAATTTATAAGCGATCACCTCGAAATTTACTTATAAATATCAGCTAATTTTACAAAAGATAACTAAATAGAATTGTTGGACCCCACCGAATTGTTGGCGTCCCGATCTCGCGAGCTCCTTTTCAGCACCATGGAGCGCTCGTTTGGTCAGCTTCTACGGGTTCAGGTCTGCTGGGCTGGGCTGCTCGGTTGCGAGCCGCGTGGTGCTTCCTTGGTCTCTTGTCTCGAGCCCTCCGGCATATTCTTGGTGGTTCACCTCTTTTTCCCCAGCTACGAAGCTCTTTGGGTTCAGATCTGGATGAAAACTCGTCTAAGCGGTTTGAGTTGCCGCAGTTTTTGGATTTGAAGTCTAGTTCTGCTGCTCGTTTGAGGTTCTTGGTTGTGGGTGAGACTCGGTTGGCAGTTTTGGTGGTCGTGTGGTTCGTTTGCTAGGTTTAGGGGAGGTTTTACTCTAGTTTGTTTATTAGGTGTGTGTCGTTTTACTGTTTTAGTCTTCTTTTCTTTTTGTTTTGTTTCGTTAAGTCCAACGACTTCTGGTATTTAGTTTCCCTTTGTGGAATTTTATCTCTTTTTTGGAGTTATATTTTGGTGTTGTTTTTTGTTTCTCTGTTGGAGGTTATATCATTAGACACACATTTGTATTGTTCCAAGGATAGGTCCAGGTTTTTTTATTTTTTAGTGTCACTTAGACACTTTTTTGCACTCTTTTCAATTTTCTAGTTTTATAACATAATTGATAATTGTCGTTTTGAGAAAATAAAAAAAACTAAATCGAAATATAGGTAGATAACACCTTCCTTTTGCGTTGATTTATAGGTCATCCGCAGAATATACAAAACCCGTTTAGGATTGGCGTCGGTCTACCTCGGACAATCTCTCTAGGGCTCCGTAACTATCACCTCATTCGTTGTGTTTTCTCTTCTTCGATAAATCTCGTTACTTCAACTTTTGCTTTGATCATTTTGTCATTCGGTCGGATATTTATCAAATCGTTACTCGGATGGGGAGGAGAAAGGAGCGTCGACTCGCCGCAATTAACGCTGCTGGCCGTAGAGTTAAGCTCGATCTGTTAGCGGAACCCTCTGGTACGTTGAAAGTTTGGATTAAGTGGCAGCTCGGATGTTGGATTTGTTGAATTAGGATTATTGAGTTCACAGTTTTAAAAATTTGGCGGAGTTAAGTAATTTGGTATTGGATAAAGTAACTTCGAATTACTACGTTTTCTTTCATCCTGTTACATAAATTAAAAGAGTTGATTTTGAAATGTTTAATTTGATTCCACTGTAGCTGAAGCAACAGTTGATATCTGATTTTATTGAATATTGGATCATGTGGTGTGATTGTGTTGTAGAAAGGTTTCCTTGTGAATCTTAGTTCTGAAAATTTTGTTTTTGCTTCTCAGATAGGAGAATAGTCTTACTGAATGTTTCTTCCTGCAAATTGCAATATTTAAGGGGACCTAAATGTTGTATGCCTTTTTTGTGTGTATGAACCTTACATAGGAGATGTGGGTGGTTCTTCTGTCAAGGAAGAAGTTGGAGGGGATGGTGATCCCAAATCTCATGCAAAGTTACCAAGTTCACCTTCATCTTCAGGTGGGTTCCGTCAGTTTTCTTCAAAGGACTGCTCTTTGTAGGGAAGACATGATGTGAACACATAATATTGATGGAAATTATTGGGTCTTTTTATGTGCAAGACATGTTATTTGCGCTTCGAGAAAATTTTGTTTTCAGTCTCAGATAGTAGGATGGCTGTGGTATTGGGATCGGATCAGATGGTTATCAGACTAGGACCAGCCTCCTGCCACAGTGTATTGTTGTGTAAACTTTGGTCCTATTTCCCTTTTATGGTGGCACTGAGGGCAGTTTGGAGATCACAAGGATTGATCTTGCCAAATCGGTTCGTATGTCTTTAGCTTTATTTCCTTTTTGTGATACTAATGGATGAAATTTCTGCCACAGGTGCGATGGTCCCACTCAGCGGCGTTCACATTCAGCATCTATGTTAAATTAGCTGTTTATACTGTTGTTTTACTGACTGTTTCTTTGCAATGCTATAGTTTTACTGCACTTTGTCTAGTTACAGATACCTTACTGTGACTTGGAAGCAGTTATTAGGTTTTTGTGGTGTTTGATATTTTGTAGTATCTTGTCTGCAGGACCACAACCAGTCAACCCTCTCCTGTTGCTTGAGCAATATAGTGATGATGAGTTGGATGCCGGGTCTAGTGAAGGACATAATCATGCTGCCACAGAGGGTGCTTCTATTGACATTGATGATGAGGTGATTGTACAAGCATTATACTATCTTTGCTCCTAGTGGAATCCATAGTTTTATTGCCATCTGCAGTGTGTCGCAAGATTCACTAGTGGGATTTATATAAGTAATATGGCTTTCCTCTTTCCTAACTTCTTGATCTTTCTCATAGTTTT